TTCTTTCTTTTTTTTTTTTGGTACCAGGGATTGAACTCGGGTCCTTGCGCTTGCAAGGCAGGCCACCGAACCGCTGAGCTGAGTCCCTGGCCCCAGTAGCTGTGTATTTCTGAAATCGTGCTCTCCTACCCTGTCTCTCCACCACTCTGTCCTGGGAATTTCCTCACAGGCTTGGGAAGAGGGAGGGCGGGCGGAAGAGAGAAAGGAGCGGGAAGAGAAGGAGGGTGGGGAAGGGCAGGGGAAGGGAGGGAAGGACATCTTCCCTTTGCAGGCTCTGAGCTTTGCCTCGTGCAGTCTCAGCTGGGCCACGGGCTGGGGAGCACCGGAGACTCCTGAGCTCCTCCTGGGTGCCTGGACCCTGGGAGAGGGGAGGGGAGAGAGGCCACAGGAAGCCGGGAGGGCTGAGGATTCGGAAGAGGAACCAGGAAGTAGCAGACAGTTGGAGGACGCGGAAGAGGGCGGGAAGGGTGTCCGAGGAGGGGGCAGCAGGGCCAGGCTGGGATATCCTGTGTCAGGTACCCGGTGGTTTTTCGGGGACCAGGGGGGCGGCCAGGGGCCATGGCGGGGCTCGGCCCTCTGCGGCCTGCAGGCTCACACGCTCGGTATGGGCTGCCCTGCCTTGCCCTGTGCAGCCAGCTGACACGGCTGCCCTGGGTTCCGAGGTTGGGGTGGATGGGGTCCTGTCAGGGCAGCCTGTACTCTAAGTCGCTTGAGGGAGGGTGGAAGGTACAGAAGACCCTCTGGCGACCTGGGATAGGCCGAATTCCAACTGCACCCAGAACATCCAGAGGCCCCGACGCTCCTGCCTCAGCCACCAGCCCAGCCAGGGAGTGGGAGGCCAGGAAGCCAGAGAGGACCGAGGGATGGGCTGGGTGGAGAAAACGGTCACTGGAGGGGAGGCAGAGTAGAAGGAATGAAGCTAGGGAGACGGGAGACAAAGACCGGAATTTTAAAACTGTGCTTTTCAGAAAACTTCAGCTTTAGGACCTAAGAGTTACTTAAGCCTTTGTTTCTTTCAGGAAACTCAATTTTTTTCCCCAAGGGCCTTAAAGATACAATAAGCTTGTAAATTTGGCTTCCAGGGGCCTGTGTCTTTTACCTTTTTTGGTGGGGGACAGGGTCTTGCCGTGTAGTTCAGACCAGCCTTGGACTCATTTTGTAACCCAGGCTGGCCTCAAATTCATGGTGATTCTCCTGCCTCAGCTTCCAAGGGCTTGGAATACAGCTGTGCGCCGCCACGCCTGGCTTTTACTTGTCTACTATGCTTTCTCCCACCAACTTCTACCTCTGAGGAGGCCGAAATGTTAGCAGGCGATAGATCCCAATTTTGGACTTGAGGAAATGCGTGCAGGTGATGAACATGACAGACAGTAGCAGCATGTCCGAGACCACCCCTCTCGGCCCCCCAGGCCCCATAAATGCACCCGCTCCAACTTGAGGGCCCCTGTCTCTCCAGGGCTTGCATTCCGAATCTTCCAATGCTCTCTTTTAAGATGTCAATAAATTCCTTCATGCCTCTTCTAACGTGTCGTGAAAATTCCTTTTCCAAGCTGGGAGTCACTAAGGCCACACTTTAGTCCTCAGTAGGGCTTGGGAGCCTCCTGGGACCCTGTCCTGCATCACAAACACGGGTCCCGCGTTAGCCAGAGCCGCAGGTCATGTCCACATGTGTGAGACCATTGAGGGCAGTGACGAGCAGAGAGAAGGACAGGAGAGGACACCTGGGGGCAAGACCTTGGGCAAAGACAGTGCTGCCTGGATAGGAAACCGGGGACCTCCCTGCTCCCAGGTTGGAAAATCTGCAATATCACACACATCTGGCCCGGAACTTCTGAAGGTCTGGTTACGAATTAACTCAGAAATGTCATGTCAGCCTTGCAGGGTTTGTCCTGGGGGTCCAGCTCACAGAGCACGGACTTCCCTGGGCTCCCTGTGCCAAAGAGTCACCCCCATGGTGGACGGGGTGCTCCTTTCCCTGTCAAATATCAGGTCACCTTTTTGCCTCTGCTCTCTGACTTTGTTAGCACCATGGGAACTGAGTTCTAATGCTCTCGCCCTGTGCCAGCTGGAAAAGGCTTCTTCCTTGTCCTTTCTCACCCTGTGGTGGAAATAAACTCCAGCCTGGTTAATGTTTCCATGCGAAGGCCGGCTCTCCCTCTCTTCCTTCCTCTCCTAGGAACCTGGTGCAGCAGGTGACAGCCAGGGACAGGTGGGTCACGTCTCCCTGGGGGACCAGTAGGGTCCGCACCTGCCCCCAGGGAAGAGACCCCTACTGGGCTGGTGAGAAGGGGATGATCCGCTGGAAGCCAGAAGGGCAGTCTCCCATGTGCATGGGGCTAAAACAGAGAACCTGGGGTTGGACTTGGAGTACAGCAGGGGACCAAGAGTTATTGCTGTTCTCTGCATAGTCCTGGTGGCAACTGCCAGGGGACGCCTGGCGGAGCCTGGCCAGCCTGTGTGTGCCGGGCTGGTCATTCGCAGATGCTCAGGGAAGCCACAGGAAGACTTGCAGCAGGGGAGAGGTGCTGGCTTGCTTTGCTATGAACCGCAGTCTCCGTGCTGAGGGGACCCTGGGGAGCTCGGCAGGCGGGGCTGGGGCTGGGCAGTGTGAGAATTTGCTCTGCCATTTTGCGCTCTGAGGCCATTTCTGCAGCTTGTGTTGTTGCTGCCGCTGCCTGGGAGTTCTGTCCCCTGGACCTGGCCTCCATTGTTTACCCCCCAGGCCCGGGGCCAAGTCCCAGGACTGCAGGAAGTCGCCCTGCACAATAGCAGCCGCCCTGGCATCCAACCTTCGGGCTGTGTGACCTTGGCCGAGTTCCTCAGCATCTTCAGATTCCAGGGCCTGGCTGGGCGCCCTTTGGTAGAGCAAACGGTGTTTACCTCTGAGGCTCCTCTCCAGAGATAAATATGAAGGCTACAGAGAACCCAGCTCAGGGCTGGGGTACAACGCAGCGTGGGGCGAGACCCTGGGCTCCCGGCCTGCACCACAAGAGGAAGGCAGTGGGCATGGCGACGCTGTTCCCCTCTGCAGCCACCCTAGCTGAAGTTCCTCTGCGGTGACCCAAGAGCTGACCTCCTCACCCAGTCTTGGACAAGGCACTGCTGCCCAGCAGGGACCGGACGGCCCACACACGACCCCTGCTCCCCCTCTCTGACGCCGTCTCTCCCCGAGGGTTAAAGCACACAGAGTCCCTTTACTAAGGCTGAGGAGCACTTTGTAAGGCCTGAGCAGAGACCTTGACCATTTGCAACTTTGACGACAATGTCAGTTACAACACAGGTGGCCGAGAGATTGGCTAGGATGGGCACCCTGGGAAGTGGGGCCCTGATGCCCTGGCTTCCCAGGCTCCACTCCCTTGCGGAACCCTCAGTCTCTCTCCCTGAGCCTTGGTTCCTCACCTGGAAACCTGCCCGCTGTCCTCAGAGATCTCGGCCTTTCCTGGGTTCCTTGTCTATCAGCAAATTCTCTTCCCGCCTGCATCAGCAGCACTTCACTGGGCTTGGCCCTGGCCTTGCAGGAGGAAGGAGCCCCCGGGTGGCTGGGGTGGGAGGGAAAGGAGAAGGGACGTGGCCAGCCGGGCCAGCCATGGAGGCCTGCTCTGCCCAGGGCCGATGTGGCCTGGAGACCCAGCTCTCCTTCCTTGGAAACCGAGGGTTGGGGCTGCCTGAGCCCAGGGGGTGCTCAGGAGTCCCAGAAAGGAGGGGCTGTGGGTGCTCAGCTCTGCTGGCACCAAGAGGGGAGGCCCTCCCCTGGGTCTTCTGTGCCCAAAGCTGACTGAGCGTCTGAGGCAGGCAGATGTGTCACCTCCTGTGGTCAGACAGGAAGCCTGGGACCCCGAGGAGCTGCGGGACAAAGCTCCTGAGACCTCACTTTGCAACAGCAGCGACAAGGACCGAGGAGCCCTTTGCTCATGTGCTCCTTCCTCCAGATGCCTGAGTTTGAGTCCCTGCTGTGTCTCGGCCATCGAGGCCGTCAGCGTGGGGCTGTGACGGGGCAGGGGCTCGGCTTCCCACCCGACATGCGGGTGATCGCTCCGAGGGACAGCGTCACCAGCGGACAGAGGGGCCTCAGGGTGAGTCTCCCGGGAGGAAGCCAGCAGGCTGGGGC